GCAAAGCGCCTGCCTGGCAAGCGCAAGGTCGTGAGTTCGGTTCCCGGTACCGGAGAAAAAAAGCCAAAAGCCAAAAGCCAAAAAAAAAAAAAAAAAAAAGATAGCAGAAAACTCTTTTTCCTTAGGGGTAAAATCAAATGTATGAAAACCTAACTTTTGTTGGTTACAATGAGCAGGACCATTAAAAATGAATGGCTTAGCCATTTTAAAGAGGCTGAGAAAATTGTTATGTTTCACAGGCAATGAAGGGGGGAAAAGAACACGTTTTGAAAATGTAAGCTTCATAATTCTTGATGTTAATGGTATTTAGTATTTGTGGGAAGACATTTATAAAGCATCATGGCACATAAGCATTCTTTACTATATCGTAAGTTCTAGTGAGAGACAGTATAATGGGTGGAAAAAGTCAGTGAGTAATTTAGTCCTTTCTCGTGGGTTTTAACAAAGCAGATCTCCAACAGCGTGCCCACATTGGCCATATCTGGAACTGTTCCCTCATTATTACAATTATGGTAGGCAATCGCATCTTTTTAACCTACCCTATACCTCATTAACCAATTAATCTGCCTTAAAAAAAAAAAAAAAGAGGCAGTGGCTGAGTGGTGTGACTGTTCTGTTAATTATCCTTCAATGTCTTCATATTATGTGCAGAATAAATTTTAGTCTCCTAAACAGAATTCAGGATCCTCTATGACTGGGTACAAATAAACTTTGCTTGGCACAACGTCGGGCAAAATTATTGTTTTACTTTACTGTTTTTTCTGTGTGCCAGATGAACTTTTAATATAACCTGTTAACAATTTCTCAAGTTTTCATTTTCTCTTTAGCTAATTTTCTGTCTGCCTAGTTTTCTGGTGGGTGCTCATTGCTTGTTCCAACCTATGTAGTTATTTCTTAAGGTTTGTAATCTTGTGTGTCATATTGTGACATTTTCAGGTTATTGACTTAATTAATTTATAGGTGATTTTTGACAGTCAAAAGCTTATAGCCTAATTGATAGGGCCAGAGTTTTTCTTTCCATACATTTCACATCTAGAATATTTTCGAAATTTTCATTCTTATTCTCTGTCCTTTGTGTTTTCTATTAGATTCACATGAAACTACACAGACTTTTCCAGTCTGTGTACAGTTACCCCTCAGTACCTGTGAGAGATGGGATCAGCACTTCTCAAGGATACCCAAATCCATGATGCTGAAGTCCTTTATATAAAATTTCACACCATAGTTGACCGTCTATATCCATGGCTTCAAACAAGAAGATCCAACATATTTCAGATCCAAATATGCTGAGGTGGAAAAAAGCAAAACCTTGTGTCTGTGCTGAATGTGTAGTCTTTTTATCTAAATAATATAGCAACAATTTACATAGCATTTGCATCTTGTTAGGTAAGGTGTGGGCAGTTTATGTGCAAATGCTGTACTGCTTCATATAAAGATCTTGACCATTCTCAGACTTTGGTGTGGGGAGTGGCCCTAGAACCCAGCCCCAATGGATACTGAGAGATGACCGTACTTACATACAACCTATGCGCAACATCAGTATACTTTAAATGATTACCTGTAATACCCAATACAATGTAAATACTATGTAAATAGTTAAGCTGAGTTACACAGAGAATGACAAGGAAAAAAGTTTTAACATGTTCAATACAGAGCAATTAATTTTTTCTAAGTATTTTATATCAGTGGTTGCGTTGATTCATAGATGCAGAACTCAGAGATACAGTGAGCCCACTGTATTTTACACATGAATGTTGACTTGTCTGAGAAGTTTAGACTCTTTAGGCCTCCGCCAAGCTAATAAAATATTGGGAGATTACTGGGTTAGTGGGGAAATAGCTATCCTTTTCCTTACGTGTGGCAGAGCTTCCTTCGTGCCCAAGGCACCGTAGGCAGGCCTGAACCTTAAGAGTTTTGAAACCCAGGTGAGCAGAAGTGAAGCAATTGTCCTTTTAGAGTTGCAAGCTCTTTTGAACCCCAGAAGAGACTTCTTTCTTCATTTTTCAAAGAGACTCTTCCTTTGTTCTTGGAGGGCAATGCTTATTAAGGTGTTTGACCCTGTTAGTGTGTTAACTTGACCACAGATGTTGCATGTTCCAATCTGATCATGCACTGTTCTGTGCTTTGCCTCTAAAGCATTTTGTGGCTTTAACTGGGAAAGAAAGAAAAAAGACAGAGAAGGGGAGGGGAGCTGAGTTGACCCTGGAGACTGGAGATTGAAGTGAGAGGTTAAGAGGAAGCTCTGTGACTGGATCGTAGGCAGAGTGGTGGGGCTCTAGGTTCCAGGAAAATGTGGCTCACAGCCAGGATGGGGGCTGGTTTCCCCACTTCCCTGCTCAGCCCAGCTCTGCTTGTACCTGATCAGTTCCAGAAGGAACCAGCAGACAATACCCTTAGAGAGGCCACCACCGATACATCAAGAAAGGATACCACTATTCACAAGGCAACAGTGAGATTTCTTCAACCTGGGCCAGTGGGAGCTCAAGTTATAACTGAAATGTTTGAAAGTTAATTTGAACTCACTACACTATAGATAGTAAAAAACCTCAGCATGCCAGTGACACACATGTAAAAATACACACCCAAGGACAATGTTCCTACCCTTGTTATGTCAAAACAGGAAGGAAGGAAGTACCCCTACTGAGGAAATACTCAAAAGCAAACTGAGCTTTGTGATGCCCTTCCTATCAAAATCGGAACAATGGCTTACAGAGGATGAGCCACTAGTGGGACCACAGGAGAAAGATGGCAACATCAGGTGCTGAAGAAAAGCAAATAGCGAGATTCTGCAGTGTAAACTGTGTGCCAGTAAACACAAAGCCCTGTGCTAAATACTGCAAGAACTGCCAGTGTTTAAAGTGGAATTGAGAAGGGAGTCATATCTCTGATCATTGCTAGAGACTATTTAAGCCCACTACTTAACCATTCGTGATGTGATCCTCTCAGAGAAGCTCATGTATTGGGGCACTGGCCTAGGACCACTAACCTCCTGTTCAGAGGTACAGTAACAGAATAAAACACGGACAAAACATATATTTTAGTTACAAGGGACACCAGGATGGGCAAAGCCCAATGATGGGACCATGAGGCATGGTGTCCTTACCCTGTATTAGATGCAGAGCTTGATTGTGTGGTGTGCTGGTGGGCTGCAGAAAGCAGTGGGGGTCAAAAAATATAGCTAATTGTACTACTAATTTCTATTAGTTCATTGAAAGGAACAGTTAATGCTTATATTGTTTGGTCAGTTTTGCATGTCTGTATCTGGTAACCTGAGCAACTACTTTGAAGGTAACAATATGCAATATAATAACCACTGTTAACTTCCTATCATCCTATTTTCAAATTCTGTATCATTTTGGTTTTTCTTTTCAAAATAAAAAAAGAAATGCTGGGCGTGGTGGCACACGTCTGTAATCTAGCACTCAGGAGGCTGAGGCAGGAGGATGGTTGCAAGTTCAAGACCAGCCTGGGTTACAAAGTGAGCTCAAGGCCAACCTGAACTGCACAGCAAGACCCTGTCTCAAAAAAGATAAAAATAAAATAAAATAAAAAGAATTGAAGAATATTGCAATTTTTGGAAAAGCATACAGGAATAGATCAAGTTTAACTAGCAACCTGATTGTTTGCTGTGACTACTGAACTACATGGAATTTGCATGAGTCAAGTCCTCAGAGCCATATTAACCTGCTTTGAGACAGCAGAACTTCACAGACTTGTTTGATAGTCTCAGTTCTGGCCATTGGCTTACAGATTAATCTATTGTTAAGCCAGCCAGGGGTCTCACCACAAATCATGTAGGCCTAGGACAGACTCTCAATTTATTTTTGCACCAATTTATTAATATTACTGTCTGCTCTACACTGTGTCAAGCTAGTCCTCAGTGCTCATGTAAATAACTTTCCTT